CAACGTAATCTGATTACATACAGTATTTGATTACATACATGAACTTTGTACTCAAGAAATGTATAATCTTTTCTCTTTCCCGTTACCTTACACTAGCTTTCTTCTGCTCTTTCCTTCCATCAAGCTTCAGCTATATTCCTGTTTTTTTCTAAGTTTCGTAGTTATATACTGGTTTGTCGAAAAAGAACAGGCCAATAATGATTTATGCTAGTCTCACAATATATTAAAGGATTTTTAACGTTCACTATTTTTAATTTGTTTCTGTGTACTCTAAGCAACCGAACTTCCGAACGGCGTTAATTGCAATGCATGTCGATCTATTTGTACAATTCTATTGTTTAGATATTCCGTGCTTAACATCAAGCGAAAAATGTTGCAACCATTTCGAAACTAAGGATATGCATTGTAATATCCTTATCGAATGCTTTTCCAGCAACTTTTCTACATATATTATTTTACGAAGGTCGCGCATAGTTTTCCCGCGCAAATTTTTCCCATGTATTAATAAAAAATATGATAAAACTTACTTTGATAACTTGCAAACCCACTAAGATATTGACTATTGAACTTTACAGTTATATATTTTTCATTATATAAAAAAAAATTACTATGGTTCGAGAATAAAATTTAAAATATAAATAGCCTCATATATATGAATGGAAATATAATTAATTAACGCAAAATATATTTCTTGCGATTACAGAAATTCTACAGTAATTTTTACCATAAAATTTCCACTGAATAATTGTAAAAAAATTATAAGAAAGAGATCAGAGAAAAATAAATTTCGTATACTGTGTACTTTGAACAAGCGGAAATTCCCATCTATGACATGAGATATATGAAAGAAGCGCAGTAAATTTTATCTTTTATGCGACTGACCGTTGCATTAACCTTTATCGTATCCAAACACTCGGTTACAAAAGATAATTTTCTAACGCGCAAATAAACCTCTTGCCAAACAGATAAGATGAATATCTTCTTCTTTAGATACTTACTCATATGACGCATATCTCAAAGACGTCTTAAAACGACCATAGCATGTCCTACTTTTCTTAAACGCCTTTAAAATATTTTTCAGACATGCATGCGAGTTATATGAGAGCAGACTTTCCTTAAATATCAATAAGATGTATTAATTTCGGTATTGACGTGCCGATTCTAATTTTTGAGCGCATTGTATTAATGACTTTTGTTTCAATTTCATAACGTCAAAGGAGGGACTGAAGACCGAAGTTATTTCGTTAACGATTTTACATCGCTATTATACGATCGTCGACAAAAAGATCGTTCGTAATTTTCTGTATAAATTTCAAATCACATTCGTCTTACCTAATTTAAGAATCTTCCCTTCCTCATTACGAAACGAATTCTCTAAATTTCTCGTTAATTAGAATTGCCTTTACTTTAATAGCACATCTGCTCGATTTAATTAAAATATAATTATCAGTATTCTTAACTTCAATACTTGTAACTATTTTAAATATAAAAATTATATTTATTTTATTTTACTTTGAATATAACAATAGTCGATATTTTTTATTTAAAAGAAAATTTTGATGTCTTATTAAATATATAATAAAATTAAAATAATTAATTAAATAATATAATTACGGACTTAATCTAACTAAATGCGATGATGGTTTGCATGAAATTTAAGTAGAATTATTTTGCTTCATGAACTATAAAGATATCAACGGAGCTCGCGTTAGGATCGCCAGTTCCTGTTCGATATTTGAGGTCAAGCGACGTGGACCAGGGTAAATAACCCCGAATGAGTGTGACCGAAGATTTAAAACTGCACAGAAAAAGAAGTATATAAGGTGTTTCAGAAATAGAAGAGTTTGTGAAGAGTATAATATGCCGAAGAAAAATGTTGTTGAATCAGAGAAGAAGGAACCGTTTGATATAGTAAACATCGACCACACAGCTGCCATAAACATTATAAGCTAATAAAAATAAAAATACCGTTGAATGAAACAGAAATATAATTCGATTCAATTCAACATCGGCATCACGGTCACAAATATTCACGCGGTGAATTCATTTTTGGTTGTTATAGATGTTGTTTAGATAGTTGTTCAGATTTCAATCATTTTTTTATCGCAAAAACTATACATATTGTTTTCAAGCCAATATCAAGCCAAGAAAATACGAAAAGCGTCCTGGCGTTTAGTGTGATTTAAACACGACATGATATGTCGTTACTTCAAAAACTTCAAAAATAATGTTCTTTCAGTAAAAATATTACGACTACAATCGATGACAAATGCAATTGCGTTAACTGTTCGTGTCCGTAGCAGTCCGTAAAAATAACATTTAATTCTACCGAGGTATTTCTTTTCTTCTCGCAAGAGCATTTTTATCTGTATGTAACTGAAAGAAAAGCTGTTATTTAAAAACCGGCACACAAGTAAAGTTTAGAAATATATAATATATCCTGGATACTATCAGTCGAATGCTCGATTTAATATTTTATTTATCGTAGACGATCGATTTGATGTGGTTTAATTTGACTTGGTGCGATCTATTTAAAGCCAGCGGCACACGGTGCTTGTTTTCGTGCTGGATTGCTTGCTGGTTGAAAATACTGCGTTCTGATTGGTGCATTTCCATCCATCTTCGGAAATGTACCAATCAGAAGGCAGTATTTTCTTGCAGCAAGCAATGCACCATGAAAACAAGCACCGTGTGGCTCTAGCTTAACTTGGAAACGTAAATGTTTCCAAGTCCTTTCCCAGATCACGAATTTGACGTTATTATGTAATAAGAATGCTTTTTCGGGCGAATGCGCAAGAAACTTTGCCTTCTGCTGCATTTAATGGAAACGAATTATTCATCGATTAAGTACGATCGTCATCTATAATTCTTCGCTAATGTTCCCGCTGTGTTAATGATCGCAGACGATTGACTGTCACATCGGAAAAGGCGGAAAAACCTAGCCTAATCTTTGGCTAATTATATACCCATACCGGGTGTCCGGGATCGTTTGGACACGAAAAATTGTGAAAATTGATCAGATGAAACTGAAAAGAAAAGTCAAGTATCATTTTGCAAAAGTCGCAATAATTATCAAGTTATTAATAATTGAAAATGATCACATGTAGAGGTTCTTTTAATCGATAACTTGAATATTTGCATACTTATTTGCAAAATGATAAAGGACTTTTTTATTCAGAATGATCTAATTTACAATTATATGACGACCATTGTGCCTGGCGACAGGTTCAAGATTCAAGGTTCAAAATTCAATATACTCATATTTATCGCTAAATTATTCGTTTCCAAAAGAACGGACACCCGGACACCCTGTACATTTAAAAAATAATACAATCTCCATCCTAATCGAATGTAAACCCGACTACGATTACTGCAGACAAGTTTCGACATATTTAAATGTATTTAAATATTTTATCCGGGAAACTTTCCTCGCAGATCGTCGTATACATTTTTTCTCTACATAGTTGTATAAAACAGCCTTAGATTGATGTGGAAAGAGGAGAATTTTCGCCGGTCGCACGTACGTGATGTCACTTTCCTGCGACATATCGTTACGCGACGCTCGGTAATTGAACTTTGCATGCACAGTTATAAGCCGTGTAAAGTATCCAGGAAAATTCATAATTACTAACGTATGCTGACGCACACGCACGCGCACGTGCATATCGCGTAGAAACGTTCCGCTAATCCTCATTTTGAAGATTAACGACCGGCGCGATACGGCAACGGCCGACTGCTTCCGTCGAGGTACTTCTCTTTTCCCTTCTATGGCCGCGTTCGCGATTTTCTCACGATACTCGAATAGAAGCAGCATGCCTTCATCCCCCGCATTGGGTAACGTTACCCAACTTGCGGGTAGGGTATGCGTCCGGAAAGCATAGGGCGGTCGCATGTGCGTGAGCCGAAATTGCACACACATGTGCGTGCACATATACATGCAAATCCGCTCGCGGCGGATATATCGAGGATTTGGGCGTGGTGGCAATTTTCGTGATCACACACATACTCACCATTAGGTATAGTGCAGGAAGATGACGTCGTGCAGTTGGTTGCCGTGCAATGTTAGTGTGTCACGCGTCTGTATACGCACACGAGTGCGTCCCACGATGCTAACTTAGCAGCCGCGTGATTGGCCGCTGACGACCACGATGCGTGTGTGCGTACGCGTCATGTGCACGTACACGTGTGTGATGCGTCAAATGCTTCTACAGTGGCGTAAGGTTTTATATTTTCCGCGCGCGCATTAATCGCGATCGTTTGTATTCGAGCGCGAGATCCTTGTTTAATTGATAAATAAATATTTCAAATTTATTGTCCGCACGTGGTAAATCGCACGAACCGGAGTGGTGCTGATTACTTTAATTTCAGCATGCGGTCAGCGGACCGAAATCGGGTTTTTCCTTGTGAAACATTGACAGTACTGTTTTGTAAAGAGAGAAATGAGCCGCTTCTAAAGACGAGCTTAAAAGGAAATTTGATCTTCCCTTGTAGAGAGAGAAAAAGAGAGAGAGAGAGAGAGAGAGAGAGAGAGAGAGAGAGAGAGAGAGAGAGAGAGAGAGAGAGAGAGAGAGAGAGAAATAAGGCTCAGTCTTCAACGCATTTATTTTTGGCGACGCGAAAATTCCACTAAAATTCGGCAATCTCCTAAAAGTTTCAGACTTCTTGTCCTTAATTAAATATAATCGAGTTTCATGTCATAAGATTATGAGAGTCTCGTTTCACTTTGACGAATCTTCGAGCTTGTTCGAGTCGAGAATAAATATGCCGGAAAGTCATATTTTTTCGCACAGTTTAAATGCACCGGAAAGACTCTATGCCTGCATTTTCGTGACTCGTGACCATTTTGACAGCATAACGGCAAGAAAGACATAATCCGATGAAGCGAAAATCCAATAATTTCATACCTACATCGGCAGTTAAAATTGTGAGTCACGTTGGCAAGAAAGGGGAGATTAGATTATGGCCCGATATTCCTTTAGTGTATAGATTTGCAGTTGGGACTGAAATCCAGTTTTGGCACTAACCTAACCTTACGCCACTGGAAGTGGCACACAAATGGAAGCAACGCCGGGCGGGTCAGTAAGCGGAGTCCCATCCCTATCCCTATAGTAGTACCGCAGACGTCGCAGACTGCGAGCTGAGTAGCGAATGTCTGCTCAGAATTTCGACAGTACTCACCATCCAACAAACTCAGAGTTCGCACTGCGAAGCGCTTTTCCGATCGAGAGAAACCTTCTTCATCTCTTTTTTCTCTTGCTTGTCCCTCCGCTGCCCTCCTCTCATTCTGCCGGAGGTCCTAACTCGCTATATATCTGGTTTCGTCACAGTGTACTCTTATCTCGCATCGCGACAGCGTGAGCACGCGCGACAAAATCATTCGTATATGCGCACAGACGCGCATACAGATCGCAGCAAGGGGAGGATTATATTCTACGAGAAACACGTGGAGTCGTCGTAGGGCGCATATGCACACCTCGAAGCTGGCGAAGTTGAGATACATATTTCCTGATGCGGGAAGAAATGACAGTGTGATATGTGAGGACGACGACGAGGACGAGGGCGAAGGCGAAGCTGAAGTTTCACAAAACAGGTTAAAGAGATTCGAAACCGACGCACAAGGCATTGTGTTCTCCATTTTACTTCAGTACGATAACTTAAATCGCGTGAATCACGTGTCTTCATCGTGCCGGTGACTCTTGTTGTGTAAGTAGAACATTGTTTTCTTTTTATAACCTTTTCTTTTTATAACGTTTCCTTTTTATAACGTTATTTTTTTATCGCGTTTGCATTTTCGCAACAAAAGACCGACGGGGAAAGACTTTGCGAGAGAATTCGTCATCGCGATATACTTTGGTACCGCAGTCCGCGCGTTAATTCACTATTCATGTAAAATAGAATTCGCAGTCGGAATAAGAATAAAGCTGGAAGCTCAGAATGAGAATATTTGAAATGAGAATGGAAATAATTGGAGGACAGTTGCGTGTGCTGTCGAAATATAAAAAGTGACGTCTCTCTGTAACGTTAAAATATACGTTACAATGTTGCTACTGCGATCAATCTTATAAATTTACACAATTACAAGTCAATTACAAGAACAATTACATATTTCATTGGTGGTCGACATTTTTTATCGTCTCTCTGTAGAGTGTTAAAATATACGTTACAATGTTGCTGTTATAAGTTTACAGAACAATTACAAGTCACGCGTATATTTCATTGGCATGGACATTTCTTTATCGTATAAGAATAATTAAACATAAGTAGACCGAATTGCAATATGCACAATTAATTACTCAATGATTACTCATTGATATCAGTAACAAATTTTAAATGTACAATGAAGGAAAAATTTATCTATGATGAAGCAATAATCGACCAATTATCGATCAATGATCACTAATTAATTAATTAATTAGTTAATTGTTGATTATTGATTATTAAATTTTTTTATGCTGTATTCTTGCTTCAGGAATTCTTTCTCGAAGTCGCACGACAAATAAGGGTAACGCTTATTAATTTGCAAACCGTATGATAAAAATACGGTTAAATTAAAAGTCGACGGCGCTGTTGACAGTTTTGAGCACTTCGCGTTTGCACGTGTATGCTTTTCTACCACTGTATTGTCCGACAGCGACGTTGTGATCGGGCGAACGTGGGAATTGGCGCGTGACGTGTCTCGTTCGCGGGAAATGCAAATATCGACTACCCTCGCAGCGCGCTTGTTTTTTGCCTATTATCCCTTCAAGGGCGTTGGGTCGCATTATCGATCGTCCCTTTTCTTCTCCTTATCTTTCAAATTCTTTGCGCAGTGATACAGCGAGATAAGATAACAAATGAGAAAAATGGGAAATTCTCTAACGAACCCCACACACACACACACACAAAGCTACACACACAGCACAAAGCCAAATCAAAATCAAACAAGAGTACGGGAATTGTCAATGGCTGTAGGACCGCTGCTATTGTGGCACAATGTCGTGCATACATGTATGCCGTTATCATCAGGAACTTGAAAAAATTATCTATAGATACGGTCAGTAGCCAGCGGCAGGTATATAATGCAACGCGACTACCACAATTTTGTTCTTATTCGCCCGTAAAATCACTTATCGCTTTTTTATCGCTGCCCTCGACGCGCGCCAACTTCACGATTTCCGCGCATCGTATTTCGTTTACGATATTTACAATATTTCGTGTCTGCTATTCTTTTTTTTACATATTTCTCGATTCTTCTCGATTCTTATTTATTTATATGTGTACTTGAATTTTCATCCATTGTTTGCAGCATTTTTCTCATCCTTACCTTGTTATTTCTTTCCTCGCAGAGGAAAGACTTCCTATTTTCATAGTCCTATTTGTATTATTTATAATATCGTACCTGCGCGTCAACGTTATTGCCGCAGGACGCGGCATAATCCTCGTAATGCGCATCGAAAATGCACGTTCCGAAAACATTCTCGGGCTCGAAACGTTTAGATGGTGCGCAGAGTTATTTAGCGTACCGCGAGCAACAGCGGATAGAACCACATTAGTCCGGCGGACGCTTATCTACCATAATTAATATGTATTTAAGGTCTGCTTCTAATGTGCACCTATAGGGAAGAAGTGAGAGATAATCTTTGGCAAACACAATACACGTCGATTTTAAATACGGAGATAAGAAGCAAAGGCTGAGCTAGGATTTTCTTTTTTTTTTATGACTCACGTCTTTATCAGTTCGAACAGCGATCCTACGGGTTTGTTTTTTGCCACGTTTTCACTCAGACCCAAATGACTAATCTCGCCTCAATTTTGTGATAAGGAAAAGCGAACGAGGGAAAGGGCGAAAACATTTCCAGCGTTTCAGTCGCGATTCGGACAACGCTCAGGTCGGACGTGTTTCGTGCAGTCTCTCGGTTGATCATTTTCCTTCTGGTAGCCTTAGTCATACCTTCGCGTCGGCAGGCAAGTCGACAGTTGTCCTAATACGTTGCATCGACATCGAATTAATCGATTTAATTGAGAATTAAAAGATTGAATTAGAGCGATTGAATTAGATTAACCTACAAACAGAGGAAAGAAAGAAAGAAGAGAGAGAGAGAGAGAGAGAGAGAGAGAGAGAGAGAGGGGGGAAAAGAAGAGAAGAAAAAATAAGTGGAAAAAAGTGCGGAAACGGAGATCGAGTATAAAGCCGATAACACAATTGCATGCTAACGACTGATCTCTTTGCAGGTGAACTTTAACCCGACCACCATGAATCCATCTCAACAATACTGCCTCCGCTGGAACAACCATCGCGCGAACCTTCTCAACGTATTCGACGAGCTGCTCGCCAAAGAAGCGTTCACCGATGTCACCATCGCCGCAGAAGGCGGCACCATCAAATGTCACAAGGTGGTCCTGATCGCGTGCTCGTCTTACTTCCAAAGCCTGTTCTCCGAGCTCCAGTGCGGCCACCCGATCGTGGTGCTGAAGGACGTGAAGCTGTCGGAGATCAAGGCGATCCTCGAGTACATGTATCGCGGCGAGGTGAACGTGGCGCAGGAGCATCTGGGCAGTCTACTGAAGATCGCGGGAGTGCTGAAGGTGAAGGGCCTGGTGGAGGAGAACGCCGGCGGCTCGCAAGCTGACGAGCAGCGCGAGGAGGCGGTGACGACGATGTCGCCGCCACCCGCCATCAGCACAAGCACCGGCGGGCCGCCGCAACACACTCACGGTTCGCCGCCGCACTCTACCGGCAACTCCTACGGCGCCTTCTACGGTGGTAAGTCGCCCTCAATCGATCGGGGGCTGGACGTGATGCCGTGGGCCGGGTTATCGACCTATCCCAGGATCAACCCGTATTCGCAGCGTCTCGGCAGCCACGAGAGCAACATCGACTTCGCGACGAAATCCTTCACGCAGCTCAAGCGCAAGCGGAGCGACAACATAATCGCGGCGCATCAGCAACTGCTGTCGGCGAACCGTGACACGCCGATCCTGCGCACGGTGCTTGATAAGGGTTACCTGAACATCCCACACGCCGACAATCATCAAGAGGGCCACTTCTGTGCGAACAACACCAGCTCGACGAGCGACGACAAACATGCCGACTTCATGCCGCACGCTGAAAGGGCGCAAAGCCCCTACGCGGATGCTCCTGCGGTGGAAGAGGAGGAGAAGCAACGAGTCTCGCCGCAGTCGTACGCCGGCGACAATAAGTCAAGTGAGTAGTCCAGAGAAACTTCGTGCTCACACAACACGTATGTCTCCAAGACGCCTCAAGGACGTTCAAAAGACGTAGAAAAAAAATAGGACGTCTTTCACGAGTCTTTGAGCCGTCTTGGAGGGTCTTGCGTGTCGTGTGGATGCATCGTTGATCAGGTGTGCTTTTCGTTACTCTCGGATATCAGTATAACAATTACAGTTGTAACAAATCATATATACTGTCATATCTAGAAGAGTACTAGTATTGCTTTGTTTATCATATATCATATTATTGTATATCATGTATCGGGTGCTTCAGATCACCCGGATCACTCGATTTTTTCGTTAACGCGACATTTTAGAGAAAAATATGTCAGACAAAAGTTGTAGGGCTTCAAAGGATCTATTTACTGACGTTATGAATTTGACCTTGGGATAACCTTGAAAAGTCCAGTCAAGATCAACATAAAAATCTTAAATGGATACTCTAATTTTTTATTACATCATCTTTTTTTAGCAATTAATTTGCATAACTTTTGTCTGAAATATTTTTTTATTTATCTAATATTTTTTGAGATATTTAAGGAAAACTTGATAACTTTTTCATTATTTAACTCACGATATCTCGCTAACTATTTGTCAGAAGAAAAAGTGGTACTAGACTTTTTTGCTCTTTTTAGTCTCAAGAATATATTGTTCCGATAGCGCCCTGAATTTGGTTAATTTGATGATTTTGAAATTTCCAAATTAAATAGAGAGCGGGGGTTATGCTGGACTCCTACCGGCTAAAATCCCACCGGGGTATCTACCTTTCGGACCGGTGTGGGGGGGAGTCAGGGGAACTACTCCCGTATTCTCTTCCCGACACCCCGGCGTTTTACAGCACGGCCTAGTCGATTCAGCAACTGTTGGCGACGAGCCTTAAGCTCATATCAGACTATGGATTGGGATTGAGATTGGATTGAAATTTGACCAATTGGAAAAAACAAAATAATCTCAAATATAGTAAACTTAGCCCTGATTGGTTAAATTTCAATCCAATACTCAATCCCAATCCATAATCTGATACGGGCTTTAGAAGCGGCTAGATGAAACACGCTGTGACCCGAGCGGCAACACTTCCCCAATCACCCATTTTGACGCGCGCTCATTCGTCAGATTTCTGTAATTAATAATTCGATAACTATTGCGAATATCACAAAACGGTATGGGACTTTTATGTTTGTCTTAGTCTGATTTATGTCTCCCCGGCTCCTTAGATTTCTGTCATTAATAACTCGATAATTATCGTGAGTATCGCAAAACGGTATGGGACTTTTATGTTTATCTTAACCCGCTCTCCATGAGCTCTGTAACAATTGTTATGGGACATCCTATATATGTCCGGAAATACAAGACACATCCGTCGTGCAGGTAGAATGAGTCAAATTGAATAGAAATCTTCTATTGTTGCGCAAGAATTGTGTACAGTTTTCAGGTACAGTTTCGATGGAAAAAGATAAATTATGCCGATACGGTGATACGCAGGTCAGTTTTCTGAAAACTCGGGAGACGCGATCTTATCGACAATGACTGAGGCTTTTTGACTCTTTCTTAGATAGTCGATCGCGCACTTTGCTTCTCAGCTGATATCAGCCACTGTAGCTGATCGATAAGTCGAAACCATTTTCGGTGAGATCGTCTCAGCGTAAAATGTGCACCGATTAGCCTATCTTTTCTCATTAATACTTCAGCATTCCAAAGGATCTTTGCAAAATGGCACAAGATTTTTTTATTAAGTTCGACCTAATCTACTTGCACACGGCAGGTATGCTTGAATTTGCAGGCACCGCGTGTATATACACAGGACATATAAATGAATACTTACATTATAAACTTTTATGACATGTAAGAGGGTTATAATTGAACAATTTTTTATTAGGGATTCGTGTGTGTTCAAAAATGTCGCGTGTTATATCTTGGATCAGATTCCAAGAATGGTAGGTTTGTAATGATGTTAATGGTCCGCATTTTGACAGCTTTCTCCTGTAGTTAAAATCCCAAAACATAAAAAAAAACATCAAAGCAAAACATCAAAACCCCAATACATGGGTATCTGCTTCTGCAGGTAGACCAAAGATGCCTAAAAGGTCTTTGACCTGACGCGTGACTAGAATTTTCTCTTAGTTGTGACACAGAAACGTGACGTTTCCGGACATGGGTTTCTAATAAAAAATCGATTAATTAGAACTGTCCTACGCGTGCTCTGAAAGCTTGTAATGAGTATGCATTTATATGATATATGTACAGAATGTTAAGAAAAAAAGTTCAGGTTTTACAAGGTAGATAGTGCTCGTTATACTGTGTAAAAGGTGCTCAGTAAGTTGAACGAAAAATCAACTCTTTCAGAGTTACAAACGTTTTCGATATTGGTAACACAAGTTCAACGAACGAGCGTCTTACCATATTATTACTTTATTATTATTTTGATGTTTATAAAAAGTCTTCAAAATATTTTTCATCTACTTCTACACATGCATGACGTCTTCGTATCACAAAAATGTAAATTCTTTTTCTTTATATTTTTTTTCGGATTAGTTCAGCTGCATCTTCGATTCTTTGGTATGATTTTTACCCCTTACTCACCCTCCCTTTCTCACCCTCCTCTTTTTCAACCTAACTTCTCACCCCTATTTCCCCCCTCCCTCTCTCTCTCTCTCTCTCTCTCTCTCTCTCTCTCTCTCTCTCTCTCTCTCTCTCTCTCTCTCTCTCTCTCTCTCTCTCTCTCTCTCTCTCCCGCTTTTTCTCTTTCGCACATTTTCTCTTCTATATTCTAGCATATTCTTCTCTCTCTCTCTCTCTCTCACTCTCTCTCGCTTACTCACTCGCACTCGCTGCTGTCTGCTTCTTCACTGTAACGCTTCTGATATCAGAAAAGCAAAATGTGCAAATCTCCACTCCTGTGGGTTTAACGTTTCTTACTAAAATGAAAGTTCCCGTGATTCGGATTATTATCTTAAAATACTTCCGTTTAGAGACAACGTAAACGAAAAACATAAGAGCACTTTTCTTCCTATTTTCTAAGGCCGATTCGATTGGGACTAGAAAAACCTTGATCGATTCAACCATTGCTGAAATATGAATATCTTACCTCGTTTCAACTCGCAGTTTCGCATAAATATAGGCACTGCTGTGCCTCTTGATACATTATTTTTCGGTAAAGAATATCTATATTTATACCAGATTTTTAATGTATCTAAATCATCATATGATGATCATCAATGATCATCGCGATCATTCTGATTAATCGCGTTAATACGAAGCTTCTTTCGTTGCAGATGTGGCAAATTTCGCACATCAGAGACCAGAGTGGAAGCGGTACAAGCAATACTCCCGGGACGACATCATGCGGGCGATCGAAGCGGTCAAGTCGGGCATAAGTCCCGTTCAAGCGGCGCGCAACCATGGCGTGCCATCGCGCACGCTGTACGACAAGGTAAAGAAGCTCGGCATCAGTACGCCGCGGCCCTTTAAGCGCGCGCCCAACGGCAGCAACGGCAACAGTGGCTTCTACGGCAACGTGAAAGGCAACATCTATAGCAACAGCTTGGTCGAAACCGACAACGAGCGCGATACCAACAGCGCGAGCATCGTGGAGAACGCGACGTCGTTCGAGAACGTCAAGGTCAAGGATACGTCGCAAGGTCACAGCGACTCCGCGATGTCGCAGGATCACGGCGAATCCACGATGTCGCAGCGTAACATGAGCCCGACCATACGCGTCAAGCAGGAGCTGAAGCTGGAGGACGAGGTGGAGGATCTGTCGCTGAATCGTAAGTCTGACGTTCCAGTGATAATGCCACCTGCTACGTCGAGCGTAGTCCATGAGGAGTCGCAGGACGCGTCTGTGTCGAACGATCGTCAAGACTACAATTAATTTGCCTCTTGTTTTCGAACGCTGCGTTCGATATTCACTGCCAGTATTAAAAATACATAGTTTGTGTCGCATATATTATAGCTTTTTAGTGCTGGCAGTAAATATCGGAACGCAACCTAACTTTGCCTGCTCATCTTCACCACGGCGTTCCCGGAAGCCTCTCTCCGTGGCTCTTGGTGCTAGCCACGGCAAATGCCGAAGAGTCCATGCTGATAATCCTTAACGTTATAAAAGCTATAAAGGACTATATTGAAACTTGCTTTAAGAAAGCAAGTTCCAATATAGTAAGCTATAACAAAAGAAGCAGTCTTTGCTTCTCGGGCGTATCGATGCACCAGCTACGATCTAAAATCTTATACGTCATGCAGGATATCGACTACATGTACAGCGGCTGTGGTCTATTGAATATGGTTCATATGAAAGGAAGTTAATTCCTAAACATTCGCGTGGGCAAAGTAACATTTCCTTTTTCCTCATTTCTTAAGAGAAAACGCAATACGAGGAAAAGGTGCGTTTGAAGCTTTCGACTCATTCTGGAGCCGTCTCTTCCTTTAGGGAGATCGTCTACACGTGATAACGAATAAAAGAAAATAATAATAATAAGTCGAAAAACGCAGCGTTTTTGCGACAGCAATATCTGTTGTTATCTCGAACAATTGCCGCTTTTTACCGGGATATTGTTCGTCATTGTTCACTTTAAAGTTTTTGATTGCGCTTTAAGATCTCAACATTGAATGATATTCAAGGTAATTCTAAAATCTACGGCGTCCGTATCACTTGAGAACTTACGGCAAAGAAAGAATTTCCGTCACTACCTCCGGTTTCCTGCCTTGTACAAGACTGAGCATACGTCGTAGATAAGAGACTGAATAATTGTATAGCGCTGCGTCCCAAGTTCATCCAGGTCCATCTCAAGGATTATAAAAATAATTTTAATATTATTTTATTATTATGTTATTATTATGCAAAATATCTTATTTTATTGTTTTGGATATTTCTTTCATGCAAGAACGATAATGCCTGATATCGTTGAAGAGAAATTGCAAAATGTTTTTAATTCAGAGTACAAAGAGGCAATCGAAGCATATCGATCAAATCGTCCACAATAGACTTATGCTGATCTCCAGAGATTCTCGTTTTCCCGCTGTAATCGCTAACCTCACAGGTAATTACGTGGGAAATTCAGAACTCGGTGTACTCTCCGTGTTCACGACATTTTGCATAAGTTACGCGCTGCGCACAATTTTATTAACGTTTTTCAATTGTGTGTCGACTTTCATGTAAGATAATTTAAGATTATATATCTCATAAATTTAATTATTAGTTATTCCTTTAGCATCGATCACGGCTGCGGGATATAGTTGCAATATTGCTCAAGGCACATCATCTCATGATATCACGATTGTAGCAAGCAGTATTTGTTGAGCTGCGCGATTGTATCGGAGGTGCGAGGTGTGAGAGAAATTTATAGTAAACGTGAGAACGTTACCCCTGCGGAAATTGGGTAACATTTGCAACTTGAAAAACGTTTAGGGGGTTAGAGCGCGGAAGACACCTCGGTCAGCTGCACCTACAATCGAGCTTGCTACGATCTTGCATAGCATGATAATACGAACTACCTCATTGTAAGTGCAACGAATAACATTCAATTAAGACTCATTAAGACTGATTAAAAAATGTTACCGATTAAATTCATAGTTTTACCGCTTCATACATATATATATAACAGTAAGTTATATATACATATATAGTGTGTTACATATATACATATATATAACGTGTGTATTTATGTAGAAAGAAAAATAAAATATATATATGTGTGTGTGTGTATATATATGTATATATACATACATATATATACATATGTGTATATGTATGTGTGTGTGTATATATATATATACACACACACATAAAAAAAATATATATATATATATTGCTCGCGAAAACATAATAAAATTATCTTTAAATGCTATTCAGACACGAACGCACTCTGATTGTTAGTTTCGTGATGCGGATATATACTTGAGCACATATATATATATATACATCAGTATATATACATATATATATTATTATTATTATTATTATTAAAAATATATATTTCATGTTTATCATGTTTAACCGTTTTTTCATTATTATAAAATATATTAACGTGGCATGTGGCGTAAATTTTTGGATTCGCTTTATTTTGCAACAAAACGTGTCGTACTCAGCTGAAAATGATAATAACTTGACGAACAAGAAGCAGTGAGTTGGCAACACGTTTTGATGTAAACTTACGGATCTGCGATTCGTATTCTTGTGTTCATTATCGTACCGTAGTTATAAAAAGAACAAAAACTCAGGTTTATATAGACTGCAAAGAACATTATCGATAGAATCTATTAATCTATATTTACAAAAGATCTCATACTCTATTGTCATGACGCATGAATTATTATTCAGCGCTAGAAATAATGGTCTGATCGATCCTCCTGATGGAATAAAGGATCACCGGTTACATAAAAAATACTCAAATGTGTCAAGACAAGGTATATCAAGGGAATTTTTGCTTAAAATTGTGGGAAAATTAGCTCTTGCTATTGCATTACGAAGAACTTTCAAAAATGTTTAAACAAATTACTTTTTACGATGCGAGTGTAAATAGAAGAGCAAACGATAGAACAAAAAATAAGGATATTTGATAATAATCTATAAATTATTACTTTGCCTTGACCAACAGACACTCGACAAACCAAAGCTGCCTTGAACGTTCTTACCTCGATATAAGTCATTCCATATTTATTACAATAGAATTTTTATGAAACAGAGATATATTTACAAAGATATAAAAATAATATACATCTCTTTTTGATGTATAATCAAGGATAGTGCCACCATCGAATATATGTTTTATCTTAATGTTAATAATCTGTCTTTTGTAATTAAAGTTCTTAAAAGACGGGTTATCGGTGATAAAAATTTAACTATAATTTCTTAAGGTGATTAGTACGTTTAACGAATGCAACCATCATTCAAAAATCGTCGAGCAATAGCCTCGATAACTTCCGTATACAAGATCCACGAATATTTAGATATCGAAAAATATAAACAGAAACACATAAACAGAAGGCAATAATTATAAACTGTAATATTTTGTCACCATTCACTATGTGATTCATTTTTTTTTCTTCCAAAATAGCGTTATATTAACCCTTTGCGGACGAATTTTTCCTTAACTCCAATTCTCAGCAAGTCGAGCATATTCTCTATACAAAACAAAATTATACATAAAGACTTAAATATTGGAATAAAAAGATAAAGAAAAATATATATTGCTTTATGAAAATCTTCGCGAATAACTTCGCGATGCCTTAAAGCATCACACGGCTTTCTGAGAAGTACATGTAGCGATGACTATAGTCATCTCACGGACTTAGAAGGTTAAAAGTCTGAGTTGCATATGTTTATGTACTGATCATAGGTGGCATCAGATTAATGCAAGTAAACCAGCATTAAATGAGTGGGCCATGTTTATTATATATTATATATCACTTATTTTAATATTTTTAACATTGCGTTTTGTTTCTAAAAAAAATTAATTATAGAAGATATTAATTATAGAAGATAGATTTAAAATTAATTGAAAATTTTAACTATAAAAATAATTTTACATAAAAAAGCAGAAAACTTGAACTGTATAGTTTTCTAAAATTTTAGAGTGGGCCAAAGAATGGGCCAGCGTATTTTTAAGTGGGCCAGGCCCACCTTTGGCGCCTCCTGCTTTAATTTTAATTAAGTAGAACGTTATGCTTTTGTTTTATATGGCATATGTTTTACTTTTTATTTCTTTAATTAGTATAAAATAATATAAAATATTATGTCTCGAGTGGAAGTATTTGTGGATTTGTTTCACTGATCTTTATTCGTAGCTATGGAATTACTGAATCAATTATTTTTTACGGGTTTGTCACATATAATTATTTTCTACTTTGAGCATTATTCAAGCGCCATGCGCTTTCCAATGTATGCTATGGAATTATTGAATCAATTAGTTTTTACGGGTTTGTCACATATAATTATTTTCTACTTCGAGCATTATTCAAGCGCCATGCGCTTTCTGATGTATGCTAAAACTTTAATTTGCGCGGTTCTACGGTTTAATTGTTTGCACACTTACAATAGGCAATAATCGTAGCAAGCATTATTATACGAATACAATCAACTTTCACATCGAGGAAATTTATTGTTAAGAGCCGATTGTATATAATTCGTATAGCTTTTTATTTAATTTTAAAACGCATTGGTTTTCTGTGGAATGCCGTTTGGACTTATACTGTTATTGAAATTACTCAATAATTCCTTTTTTCTTTTTTATATAAATTAGTTTGTGTAAAGCCCAATATAGAAATATAATTTAAGTCAGACACATTTCTTTTACTTTGCTTACTTTTACTTATAACTTTGTTTTTTATTTTGTAAAATTGTGCGCGCATGAAACTTGTAATATTATATAACTTGTTTTAACGAAAAGGATTCATCTATCCTTAACACGAGAAAAGCGTTAGAGACACTTAACGCTTTTTCGTTCTTTTTCGCTAAAGTGATTTATAAGCGATTTTTTTTATTTACCTCTTGTAAATAATCATAGTCATAAATGAGGTTGCCTTATGACAACTAGCGTTGTGTTATTTGTAAGACTGATTTTCAATATATGCACATATGTAATACGTAAGCATATACGAGTGCACATATACTTGGGCGTATATAAATTTAAACAATTATACACACACACACACACACACACACAAATATATATATATAATACACACATATATATATATATATATATTACGTACAACGTAAATATTTACATTATCGTGCAAAACTCCGATGAACTTGATTTTATTTTAAGCGGGAGTGTTAAATAATATTTGTTTTAATTGTTGCTCTCCTATAGTTTTTGACATACAATTATATAAATGTTAAATGATCAATCAATTTATCGATTAATCACTCATCGAAGTTATGTCGGTATTGTAATTTTATTTGCAATATATATACATATATATATATTTAAATTTATCATAATTATTTTAATCGTATAAATATGTGATTAAAATATTGTTATAAAATGCATTATTGAAAGAAATATGTATCAATAATGTATCAATAAAGTATATTATTGACATAACATTACGTGTGTCCTTTTATTTAACCTGTAATTAAGTAGCAATTGCGCAAAGTAATTATACCAGTAGTTTTATGTTACAAAAGATCGTCTATTCTTCGTCTTAATCAAGCTCGCTGATTTACTTTGAAGTTTACCTTGATTAGGATGCATGCGCGGCATGTCAAGTACGGTGATTCGTAGCGTAGCAAACGTGTGTGTGTGTGTGCGTGCGTGTGTCGCACGCGCGCACGCGCACGTGTATGTGTATGTATATTACATACTCTCGGGCATATTTACAGCGAAAATTGGAGGCAAAATCTAATTTAAAGAAAGCAGTACGTGTGAGTAAAAATGATAAGCAATATGGCAATAATTTTATTTTTGTTACTACTTTTGTATATGAAGAGGAATCGGGTGAAGCGAAAGAGAAAGGCAGACAGTTGCATTTAAACAAAATGCCGAATCACAAGTCGCAGATGCGCATCGTGGCGTTTTCTTAGGTAGCAAACATGTGGCACATTGGATTTTGGTCCTTCTGTAACGACATTTGACCGATGTCATTTACGAGTAAATTGTAAAATTGACAAATCTAACAAGTCACAACAAGTTGACGTCGCTAAAGATACCGTATTTTCACACGTAGGCGAAAATTTGTTGGGATTTAATAAAGAACAGTGGGTAAAAGGTTTTACGATTTTGGCCCATCGTGGGCAACACGATGCCACCGTTAGTTTTGCTTTAAACCGGGATGCCGGGAATGTTTAACATGTTCAAATCCGAGGATTTATCATCCAATAATCGAATGGCCCGGGAAGCCTTTGCATAAATTTTGAAGCTGTTGCAAACTCGTGTATTAGCTAAATTAACAGAGGACAGTTTAGATTTTCGACTTAGAAATATTTTCATATATATCATTTTGTTTATAGATGGCACCACTTTCAAGATATTTACTGATCATTAGTTTTCTTAAATGGAAACCCCAATTTTTTATTTTTTATCATTCTTTTCTACTAATTAATTTTAACAACTTTTGTCTGAAACATTTTTTTATTTGCCTTTTTTGAGATATTTAAGGAAAACTCGGTAACTTTTTTAATATTTAATTTACGATGTCTCGCTGTTTGTCGGAAGAAAAAATGGTATTAGACTTTTTACTCTATTTAGTTTCAAGAATATATTATTAGCAGCGGCCTAACTTTTGTTAATTTGATGATTTTGAAATTTCTGAAGATCGATAAGTTAACAAAAGGTAGGGCATTATTGTAGCAATATATTCAATATATGTTTTGTTCGTTCCTCACGATGGGCCAAAATTTTTACCCATTGTTTGTTTAATTCAAATATGATAACATTCGAATGATCCGAACAAATTGATGTTTCAATCCTTAAATATTATTGCTTGACTTTTTCCAAATAATTTCGTTGTTCGATCGAAGAAGGAGAATTACTTTAGATTATTCGTGAAATTTGATATTTTGTTTATATTATTCTAAGAAATTTCATATTTTTTTGCGTTATTGTTAGATTCTTCATCATGCATCCTTTCTCTTGTGCAGTCATTTACCCTTCTGTTAAATCTGGTCCTTGTTTGCCCGACCTACAAAATGATCGAGGAGCAACTCGTGACGCTAAGATGTTTCGTCAACATCCTTATATTTACAATATATCCTTGTATCGTTTAAAAATCATTGTAATGCTATATTTACTGGCGACTATTAAGAACGATACACCAGCGAATATACAACGGTGATCTATCACGCTATTAATTAACTACAATGTGACGATATATCCGGCAAAACAAACATGTCCGATATGAAAACAAGTAATAATTATTAAAAAAAAGAGCGACATCTAGATTTTTATCTTGACGATTACTGCTCGATTAACAGCGTAATGAGCCACTGAGAAGGGCCAAATGTAAGGTCGAAACCTGCGAAGTTGTACCTTTTTATTGTAATTTGAGAGAGAGAGAGAGAGAGAGAGAGAGAGAGAGAGACATTTATTAGAATTTCCGTAGTTTAAAAAAAGATACACATTTACACCGTGTGCTGGCTCCAATGACCAATATTGCTATCTAAATTTTTATCTCAATGTTAAATGAAATAATACGGTGCAAACCGCAGTGTCGTATCATAAATAGACGACACGATAACGTCAACATAACGTCGTTTATGTATTATTTAAAACATATTCGTGCGAATATATCTGCTATATTATATCAACGTCGTAATATTACATGTGCTTGCTAGCCCGGTTATATACGAAGAACAAGGTCATCGATCGTTTATTTATCCGACATATTACTTTTCGATACTATTGCTTCTCTCGCGAAACGATTGCAGCTTGCAAACCATGAGTGTAGGAACAAAGAGAAAGAGAGAGAGAGAGAGAGAGAGAGAGAGAGAGAGAGAGGAAGGGAAGGAAGGGTAAAAAGGAAGAGCAATTCTTTATTTCCCCGAGAACATCGAATAAAATTTAAACTGAAACGCGTATTGTTCCCGGTCACGTACGCGGAATCATCGGGATTTCGGCGGTAGCTTCGCAGGATATCGATGGAGACAGAGAAAGATGGGCGAAGAAAAGGATGAGCACACACAACACAGTAGGAGCGAAAGCAAGAGAGACGGGTAGAGGGGGGGGGAGAGAGAGAGAGAGAGAGAGAGAGAGAGAGAGAGGCAGCGAGAGGACGGGGGAAGGAGGAAGGGGGAGGCAGGAAGAGGGTGGAATAGAGGGAGAGGATGGAATAGAGAGATAGAAATAGATAGACAGATAGAGATAGAGAGAAGGGGTAGGGGTAGGGGGAGAGAAATGTCCTGCTAATAAGCCTCATTCCCCGATACGCGCGCGGGGAGAATAATTATGAGCTTGCGCAGTACGCGTCTTCGGGCGGCGGCGGCGGTGGCGGTACCAGGTATAGGAGCTCGCGGGGGTAGGAGGCCGCGGAGCGGCGAGAGGGTGAGCGAGGAGAAATAAAGCCCCGAGCCCAGCCGGCGAATGCAGCCGCGGATGCTGAAAATTCGCTCCGCCCGCCGCTCGTGGTCACGCTACGAAATTCGCGTTTCGTGGGGGTGCGAGAGAACCGGACGGGTGCCGTGCGTGCGAGGTCGTCGCGGGTGCTACGAGTTCGCACGAGTAGGAGCGCCGCGAACCGCCGGCACGCGTGCGTGCGTGCGTGCGTGCCTGCGTGCGTGCATGCGTGCGCGCGCGTGTGTATGTGTGTGTGCGTGTGCGTGCGCGCGTGTGTGCGCGCGCGGTGCGTGCCAAGTACCGCTGAGCGTAGTGCGTAGTGTGTACGTGTCAACGACTCCCTGCGCCGCCTGTGGCCTCGTTTCGCCGACGACATATACATCGTAGTTGGCGGCCACCATCGCGTGACGCTCTCTCGCACCCGGATATGCCGAGGCATGCGCCGTAAAAATCGACGGGATTGATGTATCGCAGGGCGCAGGTATGCATCGCCTTGCCTCGGCCGCACGCATCTCGCGCGCGTGCATTTGCATGCGTTCGCGCGCGCGCTGCGCTTGTCCACCCCGTGGTGTGATCCTCCTTTGTCTCGCCACGGCGAATTCAATGCTGCCTGTGACCTAGCAAGGTCACTCAGCCTATAAGCTGTTAATGTCGATGATCTCTCTCTCTCTCTCTCTCTCTCTCTCTCTCTCTCTCTCTCTCTCTCTCTCTCTTTCTCTCTCTCCCCTCTCTCTCTTTTTTTGCCTACTGAGCTTTCGTCGCCCTCGGGCCTCCACAAGCCTTCTCGGCGTGAGTCACCACTTTTGTTATCTCGCATTAAATCCTGCGAAAGGTACATGCCAAGGGAGGTAATTTTCCGCGAGTCCACTCGCCCCGCTATTCGCGTGCGATAAGAAAAGAATTTCGTAGCAAGCAGTATGGCAGCCGCGCATCACAGAGAAACAGAGAGAGGAGAGAAGGAGAATAAGAGAGAGAGAGAGAGAGAGAGAGAGAGAGAGAGAGAGAGAGAGAGAGAGAGAGAGAGAGAGAGAGAAAGAGAGAGAGAGAGAGAGAGAGAGAGAGAGAGAGAGAGAGAGAGAGAGAGAGAGAGAGAATGTGTACCTATGGTTAAGCGCATGTATCTTTTTCTAGATCTACATCTACTACCTGCTATGCATAGCAGCAGTGGACTTGACGTTCACCTCCGACTCGGAGATTACCACGGCGAAGAGTCGAGGCTGTCCGCCAGAATGCATTTGCCTTTCCCCGAAGCAGGTGAGAACGCGAGAGAGGTCTGCACCTCGGTAAACAATCATAGTAATGTTACATCAATACTACAATTCCCTCGCTGCTAAACGAGGCAAGCGCAATAGTAGAACGCATGTTGTGTATAATAGTTATATTGTCGAGTTAGGAATTGTATAACATCAATGTAATCGTACTCTGTTGGGTCGTTAGGTAAATGGCTGGATCAAACAGCAAATAGCGGAAAATAAATTTTGCGCGGTGTCCGCTGTAAATTTTGCTGGCAGCTTGCCAGCAGAGATACAACAGCAGCTGGCGCAGCACGATGACAGATTGACGATGGGAACCGAGTAGAATGTCGTTCTTTAAGCATTCGATTGTATTTAAATGACTGCAAATCCCTCCGCTCAATTCCCTCCGCCAATCTGCTGCCAAGTTACGTCAGCAGGCTTGTCGACAGAGCACGAGTTTAATGGCCCATTTATATAGGTCGTAACACGCAGAACGCAGATCGCAAAAGTTGACCGATTATAGGCCTTCTACAATGAGCCGTTAGTCATAAGACGTAAGCAAATTGACCAACCACAATCGATTAGTCTGAAAAATTATCGATTGTGGCTGGTTAATTTGTTTACGTTTTATGACGACTTATAGTCCGTATTCATAGTCCTTCCTTGAGAAATAAGGATTCCTTATTCCTCATTTTACATTTCATAAACCTTCTTTGACCAAACAAGGAATCTTACTGACTCCCTTATCTCAAGGGAAGTTACAAGCTTCCTTGAAGAGGAAATGTTACCTTAAATCTGTTCGTTTTCGCTGCATTTCTGAACTAATGCACAAAAGTGCAATCAATTTTTAGTACATGATGCGCAGAATAAATTAAACATAACTTGCAACATTAACTTTTGTCCCATTACGATTTACTTGTGATGTCGCGCTTTCAAACTGAAAATATATAAAGGAAAAAAAGGATAATAGACAACGAATTTTTAAATGATTCTGACGAAGGATTTTTTTTTTCAATAACCTTCTCAGTGATAAGCTGCGCCAGGAGCATTCGCTCTTGCTCCGTATAATTATAAAAGCAAACGAACTCAGCGAGTGAAGTTCGCTTGGAATTATGCTTGTGGTCTCGTTCGGATGGATATGTAGTAATGTCTTCTGTATACGCACTTCCCAACAGTTCACATCCCTGTCAAGAAGGAAAAAGGGGGCGCGCGCGTCACCGCTTTCCCGCGCACTCGCGCGCGCCACCGTTCTCCCGCGCGCTCGCGCAGGATCATTTCATTTTTCAAAACGAAAACAGCAAATCGCTCAATGTGGGAACCGCGGGAGGGAAAAAACGCGGATGCTATGGAAGGGAAAGTCCATCCGGACGAGACCACAAGCATAATTCCAAGCGAACTTCACTCGGTGAGTTCGTTTGCTTTTATAATTATGCTCTGTGGTTTCATCCGGATGGATATTGTAGATGTTCAGAAAGCGATTTGCAGAGGAGGGAGGTGAAAAGAAAATAAAATTAGCGCAACTGGCCCTAAAGGGGTGTATTAAACTGCAAGGAGGTAGTCGCAGAATAACAACAATAGAAAAAACAACGTGAGCCTTAAACGCGAAGAACGGAGTTTGTAAAAAACCTCAGAGTGGAGGATAGGACGATTGTAAAAATGTGCGAAAGCTTGGGAGGAGCCTGACCAACCGGCCGCACGTTTGATTATATCTAAAGCTACTTCCTTCTTCGCCGCCAACGAGGTGGATGCATGACGGGTACTATGTAGTGTAAACGTATCAGTTTGGACGCCGCATTCGCTAAGGCCCGCTCGCAGCCAGCGACTGATCGTTTGGGTGCCAACGACACGATGCGGGCGTACATAAGAAATGAAAAAGGAATCGCCCGAGGAAACACGCAAGTCCTGAGTAATTTGTAAATAATGCTTGACTAAGGAGTAAATACACAAACTCGCGTTATCCGGGAACGGAAAAAAAGAAAAGAAAGGCTGAAAACGTCCGGGCGCAGAAGTCTTTAGACGATCCGGGACTTTTATAATAAGCTTTTCTGACAGGATTACCTGCGAAAGGCGGAATGAGGCGAGCGTTTGCGCACGCTGACCTGTGCCAAGCGCTAGGAGCAAGGCCAACTTCCTGGATACGACAAGGGAAGCGAGTCATACGGAAATATAATAGCGAGGTGAGCAATGACCGGTGCTGGATTCCAGATAAAATCATAGCGGGGGCGGGGAGGCTTAAGCACCCCTGCCCCTTTACAAAAAACGTTTAACAAGAACATGGTTACCAATTTCATTATGTGTGATAAGAGAGACGGCACTACGGGCCGTATTGATTGTCGAATACGAACGGACACGCGTGAACTCGCAAGCGAGGAAATTGCTTCTAGAAATTGCTCCGGAGTTGGTGAGAACAGAGGGACGCCCGAGGAGTGACAATAAAGCCACCAGTCGCGAAGGGGGCGAGAATACTGACGAATCGTAGAGTCCGTTAACGAAGTGACAGTAGTCTCCACCGCACTGGGTGGTACCCGGCGGTCAAGAAAAACTAGCCGAATAAGCGCCCGACCGTCAGGGAAAGCGTCCGCCAGGCCGGATGACGATTCCTGAAAGGAGAAGAGAGCAAATCAGGAGCTGGTGTAAGGATGAGCGGCGTCCCGACAAGAAGACGATTGAATAGAGGGAACCACGCTTGAGATGGCCACGAAGGAACGACTACGATCCCCTCTGCGCGGTCATTAATAATTTTACGAAGGACGCGCGGTAAAAGAATGAATGGGGCAAAAGCGAAAAATTTTATATCTGCCCAGGAGAGTGTAAATGCGTCTACCGCCACAGAGCCTGGGTCGGGAAACCAAGAGACCTAGGAGGAACATTTTGCATTAATAATGGAAGCAAATAGGTCCACCTCAAAGGGTCCAAATGCAGTCAAGATCTTCGAAAAAGGCGGCGTGCGACAATGACCATTCCGTGTCCACGCTGACGGCTGATTCGCTATCAGCGATGGTATTATGAATAGAAGCAATGTAAGAGGCAAAAATGAAGATGCTACGGTCTTCGCACCAGGTCCATATTTGCCGCGCCAGCAATGTAAGGTGCGGGTATTGCACCGAACCGAAGCGATTGATATAGGCAATGGCCATAGTATTGTCAACACGAAGAAGAATGTCGCAGTTTTGAAGATCTGCTGCAAAGCACTGCAAAGCATAAAAAACAGCTTTGAGTTCAAGAAAATTTATATGACAGGACCGTTCAGACGCCGACCACCAACCACGGGTATAACGTGATCCACACGATGCACCCCAGCCCGAGAGAGAGGCGTCCGAAAAGATTTCGCGCGTAGCGACCCCGGAACGTATAGTCTTAGCCTGATGGGGGTTAGAAAAAATGGAAAAAACCACTATCGGAAGTCACGTTCAAGATGAGAAGAAAGACGCATTGCAGCTGCATAACTGTCACCAGAACGCGCTAAGGCGAGAAGCTTTTCACGCTCAAAATCCTTGATGTGTAAGAGGCCATATTCTACCGCGGGACAGACGGATACAAGGGAGCGGATCATGCTTGCGAAGTTTCGTATGCAACAGTGGGACCTCGTAGAAAATCGAGAGATCATATGAAGTAGCGCATCTCAGCGTGTCGGAGGGATCGCGATAGATTGCGATACTGACAAGGGACATGTCACAACTGTTCGGAACCGATTTGATTCTCCTTCAAATATGTTGTTAAATACACAAATCTAAAAGACACGTATTTTTTTATATGTGCGAATATTGAGTTTTAAAGGGTGAAACACCCCTTTAAAGAAAAACGGTATTTTTCTTTAGAATCGAATATCTGCTAAACTATAAGCGATAGAAAAAAAAACATGTAATGAAAATTTAATCGCTTGAAGAATACTTTAAAGTTATATGAACAAAAATTTTTATTTTTATTTTTTTTAAGAACCCCCACCACTTAATTTTTTTTGCAAAATAAAAAACATTTTTTTTACTTAGTTTAAAGCTTATTTTTTTCCAAATTCAACCATATATGATAAAGTTACGAAATATCATTCTCGAAAATTAATTATAAACGCTTCCATATATACGCTTATCCGTACTATGTGTGTAAGTCATTATCACCGAAACAATAAGATATATGAAAAATGTTTATGTAAAATTTTTATCTATGTTTTCTATATATTTATAACTGCATATTGTGTATATTTAGAATTGTAAAAAAATTTTTAAATAATTTAAAAAAATCTAAATTAACAAGAATTTTTTAAATATATCCCCAGCTCTCTTATTATTTCTTTAACATTTAATTTCTTCTATAAAAATTAAAAACAATTTTATTCTAAAATTACCTACTTATAATAAAATTATTTTACAATTGAATCTTGAAAATATACATGTCGCAATAGTTGGCATAAACAATTTATATCTTACGTTAAAAAATTAAGATAAGATTATGTGTACGTGTCCCAGATAAGTTCTAATTAAATTATTTTACAATTAAATCTTTGCGAAAAAATACATATCGCAATATTTGGCGTAAACAATTTATACACAGTTTGTCCCAGATACGATGAGACTGTTCCATCAAAGTTCTTAGCGCAGCGATATCTATGAATGAATGGTGGTAGGTGAATGTTCTACCCTTCATCTACTTAACCTCAAAATTTGAATGAATTCGGTTGATATTTCACTGCGGTTTGACATTTTATGTAAAGTTACTTTGTGTACGTCGGTCGAAAAACCAACATGGAACATGTTTTAAATTGGGTAAAAGTGGTGCAGAAACGTACGAAACGCTAAAAAATATGTACGGGGATGAATGCATGTCCCGTGCACAGGTTTTCCGTTGGTTTGGCCGATTCCGTGACGGTCGTGAGGGCCTTGCAGACGATGACCGAGCACCGCCGCCAAAAACCACTCACAACGAAGAAAACATCGAGAAAGTCAAAGAAATTCTTCGAAGCGACCGCTGTGTGTCTGCGAGACTCATCGAAGAGGAAATTGGGATACCGAAAAGCACAGTCTA